TATATATCTAGGTAAAAGACTCCAAAGACTTTACCCTACAGTGTGGCTATTCTTTGTATGCTATGCTATTGTTACTTGAGCATATTTGAAGAACATCTTAAATTTTCATTTAAGTGCATTTCTATGAATCTGTCTTAATGTATTTCATTGTTTTCTTTCATCCATATAAGGTAAAGCTTACACTAGAGGGGCCGGAGGAAGATGACGATGATAGGCTATCTCCCACTGTTCTTCACAAAATGTCTAATAGCCTGGAGATATCCTTGTTAAGTGACAACGAGTTCAAGTGCAGGCACTCATTAGCCAGAGTGTGGGTATGGCTTACAGCCGATCGGTGGACCGGTGGACAGAGTACAGCATACAGACAATGGAGCCTGATAACCTGGAACTAATCTGACTTTTTTGCAGAAGATCTCAGTGAACACGTGGTTCAGGGCAGTGCTCTTCCTGGACACGTGGGTATGGCATGCCTCTTGTCATGCACCATTGCTGAGAGTGGGAGAAGTGCTGGAGTCCTTACTCTTCCCATCATGAGCAGAAATTCCAGAAAAATAGGCAAAGTGAGAGTTGATTTTCTCATCATCAAGCCATTACCAGGATACAATTGTTCCATGGAGTCTTCATTTTCCAAGTACTGGAAGCCAAGAATACCATTGGATGTTGGATACCGAGGTGCAGGGAACTCAACCATAACTGCCCAGCTGGCTAAAGTGCAGGAAAATACTATTGCATCCTTAAGAAATGCTGCTAGTCATTGTGCAGCGTTTGTAGAATTTGATGTACACCTTTCGAAGGACTTCGTGCCTGTGGTGTATCATGATCTCACCTGTTATTAGACTATGAAAAAGAAATTTGATGCTGATCCAGTTGAATTATTTGAAATTCCAGTAAAAGAATTAACATTTGACCAACTCCAGTTGTTAAAGCTTGCTCATGTGACTACACTAAAATCCAAAGATCGTAAAGAATCTGTGGTTGAGGAGGAAAATTCCTTTTCTGAAAACCAGCCATTTCCATCTCTTAAGATGGTAAGTTCCTAGTAGAAAACCAGGGCAGCACTGTGCTGTTAAATCTCTTCGAGCTTGAATTAATTTATTTTATTCTCTTAAATGGGCACTGAAAAGGCTGTGTCAAAGTTGTCATTGACACAAATTTATCATCATAAGTGCTTTTTTTCCAAGTTTTGAGACATGGTGTCGTGTAGCTGAGGCTGGCCTTGAAATTGCTGTGTATGTAGACTGTAACCAGGGATGACCTTGAACTCCTGATTCTCTTCACTGCTACCAAGAGCTGGGATTTCAGGTACTGACCACCAAACATGGTGCCTGTTGTGTAGCTGAGGCTGGCCTTGAAATTGCTGTGTAGACTGTAACCAGGGATGATCTTGAACTCCTGATTCTCTTCGCTGCTACCAAGAGCTGGGATTTCAGGTACTGACCACCAAACATGGTGCCTGTGCTGTTTTTAAAAAAATTATTTTTTACACAGTCTCACTATGTATCTCTTGTTGCCTTGGAATTCTGTACCAGGCTGGCTTTAGACTCATAGATCTGCCTGCCAGAGTGCCAGGATTAAAGGTGTGTGCCGCCACGTCCGGCCCTGTGCTGCATTTTAAGAGTAACTTAATATTTCAATAGAATAAAAATTGTCCTCATTGAGCTAATTTGATTACAATAGCAAGTGAGAGAGGTTTTTTTGTTTTTGTTTTTTTAAATAGTATTCAAAGCTACACAGCCCCTGCTTTTTTTTTTTTTTAAACCCCCTTTGGTCTTTTTGAGACAGGGTCTCCTTGTGTGCCACCACCCCAGGTGAGCCCCTGCTTTTAAAAAACAAACAAAAAACCCAGCTAGCACAAAGATTTAAAATCTTTCCATAATTCATTCAGGGATCTCTTTGCCAGCACAGGAATGTCAGTACATGTCCACCAAGCTTATCACCAAGGATGACATGGCTGAACTTCTTGGGAGTCTAAACTAGAGCAGAACCTGAAGGAGAAGCCCCTGACGCAGGGAGCCAGTCCCTGAGGCTGACGGAAGTGCGCAAGCATCTGACTTCTGCCATGGACAGGGTAACATCAAGTCAGAATTCCTACAAGAATCCAATCTGAACATGGCCAAGTTGAAATATGGTAAGGAGATTATTAGGAAGTTCTGAACATTTAGGCCCAAGTGGGCCTTGATGACCTACTGCTGACTGACAGCTGTCCCTCCCTATAGGCTATGGATGATCACAGAAGCCTATGCTACCAAAGAAAGGTTACAGGAAGAGAGTCTTGAAGTGGACTTTGCCCTTGTGCGTTTATAACACAGTTCCTCAAAAAGTCTCACAAATATCAGACTTTTTGATTCATAGAACAGTGAAACAAATTATGTGTTAAATATTTAACAACCGGAGGAGAGTCTTGAAGTGGACTTTGCCCTTGTGCATTTATAACACAGTTCCTTAAAAAGTCTCACAAATATCAGCCTTTTTGATTCATAGAACAGTGAAACAAATTATGTGTTAAATATTTAACAACTTTCATTTAGCCAGATAGGTTTCATACCTGTACACTAATTCATTCATTTGGTCACCATCAATTAATCACAAAGAAAATTTAGGCTAAAAAACAATTGTCAAATACAACGTCAGGAATATTGAATAAGGCTTTAGGAACAAGCCCTCCTCCAAAATTGTTGTTTTAGGCACTAATGCTTTACTTGTACCTGGTGAGTGTAGGCTTTCACTTGCTACTACAAGATTTAAATACATTATACATTATACAACCTAATGATTCTGATGTTTTGAAATCAATGAAGGCTAATTCATTTTCCTGAGCATAGTTATATGTTGGCCTAGTTATACGTTTATCACTACTACAAGATTTAAACACATTATACATTATACAACCTAATGATTCTGATGTTTTGAAACCAATTGAAGGCTAATTCATTTTCCTGAGCATAGTTATATGTTGGCCTAGTTATACGTTTATCTTAAGACTAAGCAAGCAAACTTTTGACCTTTTTTGGTGTGGCTTGTGTTGTTTGGTGGTGGCTTTACCATTTACCAAATATTATCATTTGCTAATATTTCCAGCCCAGTAACAAAGCTTCATGTTTTCGCTTGATTTTCCAGTTATGACTGCTGAAATAATCTGTTTGCCAAGTGTCCAGATAATTTTCTTTAGATAAAATGAGCAACTTATTCTTCATTTTTATGTATATAAAATATCCTTTGATTTCTGAACCTCAGAATAGCATAGTACCTTTTCTGGAAATTATCAGATATTATCATTTGCTAATATTTCCAGCCCAGTAACAAAGCTTCATGTTTTCACTTGATTTTCCAGTTATGACTGCTGAAATAATCTGATTGCCAAGTGTCCAGATAATTTTCTTTAGGTAAAATGAGCAACTTATTCTTCATTTTTATGTATATAAAATAGCCTTTGATTTCTGAACCTCAGAATAGCATAGTACCTTTTCTGGAAATTATCAGCATGGTATTTTTGAGCATCATTACCTTCAAAGCAACATTCCTAGAATCATCTCTAATAAGTATATTGACACACATAAATATGATTCAGAAAACACAGCAGATGTCGTCCTGAATTCTTCATGCTATGTTCAGCTCCTTTGGGTATTTAAGAAGAATGTTGAACAAGATTTCAGGTTTAAGGATCCATTTTTGTGGTGATAATTACAGTTATCATAGATGTTACTTGAACTTGCTACTTTCTAAAAAAAAAAAAAAATCTTTTGACTTAGCATAATAATGTACCAACTTTTCATTTGATATTAGAAGTTAACAATTTATGCTGAAGACAAAACATTCATAATGATAACACAGTCTTACTGATTTTTGTAATAATTGTTTTCCTTTTTTTTTTTGCCATCCGTCTTACCAAAAACAAAACACAATTCTTCATCATCCAACAAAATTAGGTTTTAGAGTCATTGCCAGAAGATGTGGGGTTTAACATAGAAATAAAATGGATCTGTCAACAAAGGGTAAGTAATTCCTTTTTAACTTGTCTATTTTGTTTTAATGGGATTACATAAACCTAAAATCTTGTAGTTTCCTCCATTGAAGCACATTGTTTGCTAGACTTTCTCCCTTTCTTTCTTTCTCTTCCCTCCCTCCCTCCCTTCTTTCCTTCCTTCCTTTGCAGGGTCTCCCTCTCTTTCTTTCTCTTCCCTCCCTCCCTCCCTTCTTTCCTTCCTTCCTTTGCAGGGTCTCCCTGTAGTCCCTGCTCCTTTGGAACTCACTATGTAGAGCAGGCTAGCCTAGAATTCACAGAGCTCTGCCTGCCCAGGCCTCCTCAGTGCTAGGATTAAAGGTGTATACCACCACCCCTAGCCTTAGTCTCTTTTTATCAAGAAACTCTTTTTATCAAGAAAAATTTAGTGTGTGTGTGTGTGTGTACACATGGGTATCATGGAACACATGTGAAAGTCTGAGGACAACTTTCTGAAGTCTGTTCTCTCCTTCCACTGTGGACCTTGGAGATAAAACTCAGTTTGTCAGTCTTGTGTGGCAAGAGCCTTTATCTACTGAGCTATCTCACAGGCCCTGGACATTTTAAATAAGGTATACCTTATACTTACACTAATATAGGAATACTTTAAAATTGACGTATGTATATTGTATAAGTTTCAGTGTACATGTGGCTTATATGTACATTGATATATGGTTCCCAGGTATATTTTAAAAGTAAATAGTTAAAACTCTTACTAAGTTATTTATTTTCTTTTTTTTAAAAAGGATTTTTAATTATTTTTATGTTTTATGTATATGAGTATATTGCCTGCATGTATGTAAGTGCACTTGTGTCGTGCAGTGCCCATGAAGGTCAGAAGAAGGTGCCAGATTCCCCTGGAACTGGAGTTATGGACGATTGTTAGCCACCATATGGGTAGTGGGAATTGAACCCGGGTCCTCTGTAAGAGCAATCAGGACTCTTAACCACTGAGCCATCTCTCTAGCCCAAGTTATTTATTTTCAAATTCTCCATCTAAACATCTTTTAAATAATTTCCTAAGCACTTTTCTGTAGCTAGTAATATTAACTCAAAAGAAATTTCTGCAAACATGCTTTTTGTCTTTTTGAGACGGGGGTCTCCCTGTAGCCACAGTTGGCCTAGAACCCACTATGTAGACCAGAACAGCCTTATTTTCACATAGATCCACCTGCCTTCTGCCTCCTGAGTGCTAGGATTAAGTGTGTGCCACCACACCCGGCTCAAATATGCCTTTTAAAATTATTATTACTTATATATTATTTAATAATGTTCATTATTTTATTATTTTTTAAATGTGTATGAGTATTTTACTGTGTGTTTACAAATGGGTCACATGCATGCAATATCTGTGGAGGCTAGAAGAGGATGTTGGATCTCCTTGGACTGATGGTTGTTACCTGCCATGGGGGTGCTGGGAATCAGACCCAGGCCCTCTGCAAGAGCAGCCTCTGTTCTTAATCGCTGAGCCACTTCTTCAGCCTACAAATATGTTTAAAATCATTTCCAGATTTAGTCATTCATTTGTCCACAAATATTTATTGAAAAGCTGGTAAAATCCAGCATTTTCTGAGTACAAAGAACATATCCAGACTAGGATTCAACTTCCCAGAGAATTTATATTCTAGTTTAGGAAACTAAGAATTAGCTACTGGGGCTGGAGAGATGGCCCGGTTGGTTAAGTGTGCACACTGCTCTTGCAGAGGAGCTGAGTTCCATTCCCAGCACCCACATCAGTGTCTCACAAATGCCTTACAACTCCAGCTCCAGGGAATCCACGCCTCTGACCTCTGGGCACCTGCACTCACATGCACGTTCTTCCACACAAACACATACACATAATTAAAAAATATAAATAACAGTTAACTATTGAATATACTTGGGGTGGGGAAGAATATGTATAAATAGATAAAACGTATAGTAGTGGTTGAATTGGGGTGGAGTATTGAAATACTACAAAATCATAGTTGAATCAGTATCCTAGAATTTGTTTTGGAGTAACCTATAACTGCCTTCAAATTATGCTGTTTTTGACAGGCTAGCTAAGCTGGTCCTAGTTTACATAGTAAATGTTCAAGCAAGATTAAAAACGTTTTTACAATTAATAAAAATACTAAATAGTGAATGAAGATTATAGTTTATGAAGATTATGTCAAAACATTTTAAGTCATAGTAGATTACAAGTTTCCAGAAATTTAGCCTTTTTTTTTGTAAAGATTTATTTTTATTTTATGTCTATGATTGTTTTGCCTACATATGTATATGTGTACCATGTGAGCACTCTGTAACCAAGAAGGCCAGAGGGTCAGTCAGACACCCTGTAACTGGAGTTACAGACAATTGTAAGCCACCATATGGGTGCTGGGAATCAAACTTGGGTCCTCTGCAAGAGTAGGAAGTGTTCCTAACTGCTGAACCATCTCTCCAGCCCCCAGAGATTCAGCTTTTATTTTGTTAACGTTTAAAGCCAACGTGTTGCTAATATAATTAATCTTTGTTTAGTCTCATTACCTGAATTACAGTTACTGTAGTATCACTGAATAACTGTACAGACTCAGGAAAAATCAATCTTCCCAACCCTTTGGCTTTCTCATCTGTGAAATAAGTGTTAATTAAAACCACTATGAGATATACCACACCACACATCTTTAGGATGTATTTTTTATCAAAAAGTCAATAACAAATATTGGCCATGGCATGGTTAAAAGAGATCTGTGCACTGTTGGATGGGAATGTATATTGGTACAACTTTTATGGAAAATGAGGAAGCTTCTAAAGAAATAAAAATAGAACTACCCCCATATGGCCCAGCCATCTCTTTTTCATCTGCCCAAAAAAAATGAAATCATTACTTTATAAAGATAACTGCAGTCCTAGAATCATTGCAGCGTTGTTGACAGTGGGTGAGATAAAGAAACCACACAAATGCCCGTTAGTATACAAAAAAGTGATGCATAAGTATTCTAGAGAAAAGAATGATACCTTCCCATTTGCCACGACGTTAGACGGGCTTTGGAGAAAGTATATACTAAATAAAAGCAAGCCAGACACAGAAAAATATTGCGTGATTTACTTATGTGGAATTTTTAAAAAATTAATTAAAATATAGAGAACCAAACTAGTCCCTTGGTGACAGGGAGGGAGTAAAGGAATTTGAGGTCAAAGGATGCATCCCAGATACGTAATAGATAAGTGTAGAGATTTCTTACACACGTGAAGACTGTTGGTCATTTGCTGTATGCAATGCAGGCCAAATGGGTGGATTTTCACTGCTCTTGTCATCACCAAGCGACAACTATATGTGCTCATTTGTTTCAGTTTAGTCATCTTCTTACCATCCATATTCTATAGCATCTCATTGAATGCCTCTGAGAAACACAGTAAAATATATTTGTAGACATTTTAGATATGATTTAAACTAATTGCTCTTCAGTTATCTTTCAGGTCTCAATGGCTCCAAGATGTGTAATGGCTTTCCATGTCCTTGTTCTTCCTTAGGACGGGATGTGGGATGGCAACTTGTCAACGTATTTTGACATGAACTTGTTTTTGGATATAATTTTAAAAACTGTTTTAGAAAATTCTGGGAAGAGGAGAATAGTATTTTCTTCGTTTGATGCAGATATTTGTACAATGTGAGTAATCAGGTTTTTTCTTCCATACCCTAAGAAAGCAGCTGGGACTTGGCAATAGTGGGAAGCCAGGCATTGTTCAGATTGTACGCTGGGTTTGTTCTTTCTGTCAGGTTGCCTATGTTTTCATGTTTCTTTAAGCCTTGCTGAGGTGCCCTCTGCCCCTGTGACATCCTTTCTGGCTCCCACACCTGGTCCTTTATCCTCCAAACCAGAGTATAAGCCCCCAGGTTTTCTCATAGTCCTTCCTGAAAACATTTTAGCTCCTGTGGAAAAGAAGACTTCATAATAATAGTAGTTGGATCTGAGTAATGGAATTGACCTTTTTGGTTTGTTTTGATTATGAGAGTTTACCATTTTGTAGCCCAGGCTGGCCTTGAGTAGAGGCCTTCCTTCTGCCTTTAACCTCATGAGTGCTAGGATTAAGGGCATGAACCTCTGTCCCCAGCTCTGCTTCTTGCTTTTCTTTGCTTTCTTTTAGTAGTTTCTAAAATTTCAAAACAATATTATCCCCATAAATAATAATTTTGGAGTTTTGTTGTTGTCCTTTTGGTTTTTTGAGACAGAGTCTCACTGTCTGGTTTGGAACTCATAAAGATTTGCTTGTCTCTGCCTCCCGAGTGCTGACGCTAAAGACCTGTGCCACTATGCCTGGCCTACTAATGCTTTTTTATATTTTTTAGGGTTCGTCAAAAGCAGAACAAATATCCCATATTATTTTTGACCCAAGGAAAATCTGATATTTACCCTGAACTCATGGACCTCAGATCTCGGACAACCCCTATTGCAATGAGCTTTGCACAGTTTGAAAATCTTCTGGTAAGTTATGTTTCAATTTTTAATTTTTTAAATTTTCTTCTGTTTTTTGTTTTACACAGTATTAAATAAGGTTTCATAGTATTCTAACAACTGATAGTTAACGGTTTTACTAATGTCAAGTAGCTCTACTTAGAAAGTGACTGCATGCTCAGTATGTGTTTTAAATTACATGCATATATTAGTAAGGCCTTGTGGAAATGTATGTATATACAGAAGGACATTTAAAAGAATAAAAGCGAAATGGAGAGGTGGCTTAGTGGTTAAGAGTCCTGGGTGTTCTTACAGAGGACCCAAGTATGGTTCCCAGCACCCACATATGGTGGCTGACAACCAGCTGTAACTTCAGTTCCAGGGGCTCGGATTGTCCTCCTCTCCTCTCCAAAGGCGTTGCATGACATTGGGGGCACTTACATACGTGCAGGAAATACACTAATACACATAAAATAAGATAAAAAGAATAAGAAAAAAGAACAAGGGAAAATTGTAATATTTTCCTGTCAGCCCTACTTTAGAGTACATTTGTAGTGAATAGATTTCTCTTTTGTAACAAGTTTTGTTCTTGTAGGGGATAAACGCCCATACTGAAGACCTGCTCCGAAACCCATCCTATATCCAAGAGGCCAAAGCTAAGGGACTGGTCATATTCTGCTGGGGTGATGATACCAATGATCCTGAAAACAGAAGGAAACTGAAGGAATTTGG